TTAAAATAACAAATCGATATATTTCTTAATTCCTGATCCGGACCCTAAATCTCAGTCAAAATCTCAAGTCAAAGGGTCTAAACGTCCCTGGGATAATTTGTAAATTCAAATTCCCCGAGACATGGGCATAACGTTCCCCGTGTGGGAAGATAGCGGTGTGGGGTTATGTGTTGGGGGAGGGGGGAGGGGGGACAAAAAAAAACACCACGTGGTGAGTAACAGCACATGTGACGTTATACCAACACACACCTGGACCAAACATATGATCTCCCGCACAGCCTCCCCCCAACACACACACTCACATACAGCAGTAGACCATATAGTAGACACAGAGATGAATATTAGTGATACGTTATTTAATTTGTAAGGAATATAATTTGATATTTTTGTGTCCTAGGACACTAGAATTTAGTCATTTTCCAATTTTATTTAAGAAACAGTTACGTTTGTTTCAGCACTGTATTTGAGATCAGTCAAATATATATTCAGGAAACATCAAATGAAGTTGAGAACAGTCAGTTGTATTTGAGAGGGCATTAAATTAATTAAAAAACAAAATCAATTTAAGAAATGGTTAAATGTACTGTATTCGAGAACTTGTAATTTTATCATGATAAAACTCCAAGTTCATAATCTGTACTTTTTAAATTAAACGTCCTAATTGTCATCCTCAAACGAAGTAAACGATTTCTCAAGTAATACATTCTCAAACTGACTAATCTAATTTACACTCGATATTTTCATAAATACAAGTAATGATTCTCAAATGCAATTATTATTATCTTCTCAAATAAATGTAAAAAGGCGATACTCTATCCCAGGATGGTTTTTCCCATTACTTCAGGCTATAACTAGGGGTTGCGGCTTCATCACTTGGATAATCCCTTGGTGGTTTGGCGGGATTCGAACCCGGTACCGACGTCCCGCACTCTACCACTAGACCAGCTCGATCTTCGAAGGAATATAATCGTATAGATGACGGAGAGCGCTTTTTAGTACGAAACTTCTTAAGATTAGTTAAAGAAGTATTACATTCATTTAGTTACTAAAATAACCACATTAAATTGATTTATAATATTAATAAACAAAATAATGAAAAATTAAAATCTCACTGCTTCCTCCGATGATAAAGTTCTGTATGGAAATGAGTCTAAAATCATTTATATGGACCTCAGTGGTCTGTGTGTGGACTCGAGCTTAAAAATGAATGTACATTTTGATTTCCTAGCCATAATTATGTATAACCACCACTCTAATGTATCAAACCTTCTGACTAAGCGAATATTCATTTACATGGAACATTCATTCGATTTTGACTAAAATATTCCCTTGCAGAAGTTAGATTATTTCATATCTAATAGAATAGGAACATCATTTGTTTAAATACATTAACCAGCATATTTGTCGACCGATATCAAGCATGAAAATGATCATATTCTGCGTCTAATAACCTTCGTTAAAAAGATTTAACATCATTGCACATATATTGTATTATCTCTCAACTCCTTCCCCTCATTTTGTAATTGGTAAGAAAACGATAAAAAAATATTAACTGTTAATACATAGCATCGATCCGTTATAACCCATCTCAATACTGTGTCTTAACGAACGGTTTGTCAAAAGATTCAAATCTCTTATAGATTAGTAGACTTGTAATCAATTACTGCTTTTTCGTAAAGGTACATATGTTAAATTTTAACAAAACAAGTTCTAAATGAACTGCATACAATACTGATGAAACATTTTTTTAATCTTAGGAATGGTGTGGATATTATAGGACGTGTCTGGAGTTATAAAAACTTGCCAAAAGGAAGACAACTAACTCGTGTAACAGTAAATACCAACGTAAGGAATTCGCAATAATTTTCTACTGCAAAAGTTTCTCTAAAACAATAAATAAATCGTTAAATATATGCAGGAGTGAGTTACAAAACCACGGCCATTTGAAGTGTTGCAATGAAAATGACAAAATAATTAGAAACTTACGAATTTTAATTAGTACAAATTTTTAACTGTATTCCTAAGTTAATATTTTTTTTTCTTTCATGTACTAGCATCTATACTCAACTTTCCCTGCTGTTCCTTGTAAATGTTTACAATTATCCATCCTGAGTCTTTGTACTTCATTGGGCACGTAAAAATGTGGATGTACCTTGAAATAAATAAGGTAAGGACTAACCGGGTTATGCCAACAAATTGTTTAACACAGTAAAATACACTATTACAAAACGACGATAGTGATAATATTTATTTATTTGTGTGTATCTAATCTATGTTGTTTATAATCTTCACTGAAACTTAATAAAGAGAAGGCAATATCCCAAAGTATTGCATTACTCTTAGGAAACATTGTATTGTATTTCAACAACGTTGAAATTAATGTACAACAATATAAACCAGGTATGTAAAACTATCGATGAAACACACAAACCACATTTTCACACAGAGAACAATGGAATAATTATTTTAGTTGTGGTTAGACCACGAATGTTTTGCGGCCAACTACTGATAAACAAACCACAGCACCAGCTGAAACACAATAATTCTGGAAAACCTTTAAAGCTATGTTAGGATGAATTTACTATATACTGTAGTTGCAAAATTCGGAATAGAGTTAGTGATCTTAAACATAATTATAAACACCCACTCCCTATAAATAAGTTACAAAAAAGATTAGCCAGCCGAGCTGGTTAATAGTGCATCCTTGGTAAGGTCCAAGATACATTACACACATACACATTCTGTACATAAATTCCAGTACAGTGCAGCATTGCCAGAGCTGTAGAGTTTACAAAGATACTTGGAAATCCCTAATTCGTTATGCAAGGTATTGCAATACGCACGACGTTTAGGTCAATAATTTTGCCTGAATACAAGTGACTGACCAACTATTTAAATGACGTCATGGTCATCAAACTTTGCAAAATGTACGTAATGCAGAGACATCTACTGAAAAAATAACTAGCGTACATGAAGTGCTAACTAACACATTTTATGGATATTTTCATACCATATACTACAGACTCTTTCTTATTTTTATTTTTCACTCAACACCTAAGGCTGAGACGTATTTGAAAGTTGATACTAAAAACCATACCGTGGAACTAGGTTTTAAACACATAAAAAGGTTATTATTTGTATAGTGCGTAGCTTATTCCTTGAAACTGTAATACCATTGACTATTTGATTAATAGTCAAAAGTAATCCTTTAACTATGGAGTTAAACTTATCTCCAAATACAACGTGCGTTTATTAATAAGTACGTTTATTAATGTAATGTATGTCCAATTTTTAACATCACATTATGTATTTGCTACTCGTGTCTTTCAATGTCTTGGCCATTTACAGTTTTTATTTACATTTCATTGTAACGATTTGTTTCTATAGGTTTCATAAATCTCAAATTAATGATGTAGGAACTCTTTCAAGTCAAACTTAGTATTTTACTTAATTACAAGAAATATAGAACAATACAGGTTAAACTTGGAAAATTTTATCTGGCTTTAGCATTGTATGTTTTTTCTTTGCAAAATATTTTGTATATCCCGTACTGTATTCATTGTAAATACCCCCGCCGCAGCAAACCTGCCGTCTACGCGAATTTCCATTTGGCCGAATTGATTTTCAATTGATCTATTTAAATAACATTAGGTTTAACGAGTACCTAGGTTTGCTGCTACAAGGAAACTAATAAAGTAGTGTGTTTTTAGTAAAATATTGATAGCTTACTATAAAATAAATAAATTTGCCAAGATTGATCAAAATATATCCATAAACAAGCAAACTACAACATTTTACAATATTCTCCATAAGAATAACATGGGAATTTTAAATTTAAAATTTTTTTAGATTTCTCCGTAACCAATAACCGTACAAAAACACTTTGATATACTGAATTGTTTGTTTTTTTAAGCTCTTTAAGAAGGTTTAGAGAAAAATTGGGAAATTTTGTGTTTTGAGGGTAAAAAGTGAGAAAAACCAATTTTTACCCCATAAAACCCCCCATAAAACCCTGTTCCCATGGTCCGATCATGCTGAATCGCGAACTCATTCAAGTTTGTCCCGCCTTACGCCTTCAAACCAAATTTCATCAAAATCGGATAAAAATTACTCAAGTTATCGTGTTCACGGACACATATATATAAATCTATATATATATATACCTATATATATATATACATATATATATAAATATATATATATATATACCTATATATATATATATACATATATAAAAATTTGAACGAATGGTGTTTTTGGCCTCTGGGGACATTAAAATGAAAAAGTAAATCGGTCCCGGGCCTAAGTCTTACCATGAGACCTACGGTAATAGCTACTTCCCTATAGGGAAATTCGCTAAAATGGAGTACATTATAGGCCTACCATGTAAATAATTCGTTATTAAACAAGAGAAACATTGCTAGCAAAGTTTTACTGCAAAAACATCACACTGAAATTAATTAATAAAGCCAATTGCTTAATTGCCTTTATCAGGGCGCAACAACTAATCCATTGCGACTGTGCTCAGCTGTTGTGGGTGGCTGTCAAAAACAGCTGTCATGGGGGGTGGGTGGCGGGTGTCATTGGTGGATAAAATGAAATTTGAAAACCGCTTACATTCTTACATTTTTAGTGGCTTAGTCATCTTTGAGCAATTTATATTATATTATTAAATCATATATCTAAAAAAATATTCGATAACCATCCACCTTTTGTCAAAAATACGTGTAATAGCTACATTAGTTTTGAAACCATCAAAAGCAACCCTTAGAGTGGTTGTTATCACGAGTAAATCTCTGACGTTTCAAAGTTCACATGGCAACAAGAAAGTTGAAAACGGATCAATATCGGAGGCCCCTCGGACGAGTCTACGTGAAACCCACAACAAATAAAATAAAACAAAACATACCTCAAGGTAAAACTAACACTAACGAAGACTCCGCAGAACTCACAGGGTTCACACGACAACACAAAAACTGTAAAACTGGTGAAATCCGTACCTTTAGCAGATATCAAAAAACGTTGAGTCGGGTCATGACGGAGTTGGACTCCCTAACCACAAACAGAAACAGAAACTAACAGTTGAGCGTCACAAACGGGACTGGTGGGTAGAGGTTGAATGGAGCGCCGCCATTGGTCGATACACTCTGCTGACGTCACGAGCGCTCGACCAATCAGACGCGAGCTACCCTGTCGTTGCACAACGAGTGTCTACCTACACCTAACCACTGTAACTAGCTTAGTACTTTTTTACTGTGATTTCATTCATCATTCGAGAGGATTCGTGGTATTCGGACTGATGGGTTTTGTCAGTACAGTATTAAAGGGGATTTTTAATATTGTTGACTCTCTTTCATTGTTAGTATAAATATTTGTTTTCGATATGTTGAGGATGGTTACCGATGACCATATAAAATATATTGTACAAAAACATGGATAGGCATACAAAGAATTAGCCTGGTGTACCTTCTCACTATTAACACTTTTTATTGATTCGCATTTTTATAGGGCGAGGATATAAGTATTGGTTGTCTATGAAATGGAATACAAACTACATTTTTTTATAGCCATTTACTAACTAATAAATCAGAATTGAAACGAAAACTAAATACCCCTCAAAGTATTATATTGAAACATATCATCAAATGTTCATGGAACTTTTTAATGTCTATCTATTTGATGGGATATGGGGAATGTTTAAGCCAAAAACACAGGCATACCTTACAAGGCACAACAATAAGGTCCTGTACAAGGCAGCTTTGCTTATGTTGGAAAGAAAAGACAGCTTTGCTTATACAGTATTGGAAAGAACAAGGCAGCTTTGCTTATACAGTATTGGAAAGAAAAGACAGCTTTGCTTATACAGTATTGGAAAGAACAAGGCAGCTTTGCTTATCGTGCAATTCGAGGATATAACCATTGACTAAGGAGAATTACAAGTCTTATATTTATATATATTTTTTTATATTTATATATTATATAGTCTTATATATACTTATATTTCCTTAGTCAATGGTATAACGTAATTGTTTAATTTACAAATCAACTGTCTTTTATGACTGTAGTATAAAGTCTTGTTTGTTCTGTGAGTATAAATACAGGTCTCCAAAGTTACAGTTAAACTATTGCTGCTATTGAAGCGGGTGAGTAAAACGTAATTAGTTTTCTGAAGGAGAAATTATTGAGTAATATATATTTTGAGTTAGAACACAAACTGAAGTTGAATCTAAAAGAATGCAAGCCGTTTTTAACTATAGGCTAACATCGAGAATACATTCTATTCCATAAAACAATTTTGTCCGGATAAAAAATAAAAATAGCTTTGTATAGTTGAACGAACTAAACAATGCCAGCTGATGTAAAATACAATTTCCCTTATACACAGAATTTTTTAATCACACCACAATGAAAGAGTAATTAATATATCTTTTCTAGTATAGTTTTAAAATCTAAAAGTGAAAATATAGCTTACATATTGTAGAAATAAACTCTCAGAGAAGCTCATTCTATTATGATCAATAGTTTCAGTAAAGAATTGGCTACAACTAAACCAAATTGATGGGTTGTCAACTTCAGTGTCAAAATTTAATTATGAAGCATACATTTTAAGCTACGATAAAGGCAAGACAAACTATTATGTAGTATCGTAAGTAATTTATATTGGAAAGAAAAAGGACAGCTTTCCTTATATTGGTAAGCACAAGACAGCTTTGCTTATATTGGAAAGAACAAGGCAGCTTTGCTTATACATTTTGGAAAGAATAAGATAGATTTGCTTATATTGGAAAGAACAAGGCAGCTTTGCTTATATTGGAAAGAACAAGGCAGCTTTGCTTATATTGGAAAGAAAAAGACAGCTTTGCTTATATTGGAAAGAAAAAGACAGCTTTGCTTATACAGTGTTGGAAAGAACAAGGCAGCTTTACTTATACATATTGGAAAGAACAAGACAGCTTTATTCATACATATTGGAAAGAACAAGACAGCTTTACTTATACATATTGGAAAGAATAAGACAGATTTGCTTATGATAATTGTAATGATTCGTCATGTCCTTATACTTAGTTTAAATATTGTTGCATATTTCATTCGTCACTAATTTCTACTTTTGATCACCAATAAAACTGCTGTACAATTAATTGCATATGTATACAGGGTAATTTTTATCTCTAAACACAATTTTAGAGATCTATATGAACTATTGTGGCGAAAAAGTATTTAAGTATTTACAAAAATCTAAATTTTGCATAAATTTTTCTGGTGAGTGTTAGAAATTGACTTTTGGATACTGAATTCAAAAAGTGATATCCAGCAGATGAACATCTTATGTCCATAGAGTTTACTTGAAAGCTATGCTAAATTAATTGTTAATTGTTTAACATTAATACATAAAGAACACAACACATAATTTAATATTAACTAAAAAGCAAACTTATGTTCATCTTTATACATTCCTATGTTATTTTACAATTATTTTAACTTTCAATTTTTTGTTTTAATTTTTAATTTACTTGTTTTTAACAAAGTTACTTGTTTTTGTTACCAAATGTGAACTGTAAGGCTTTCTACCTTTGCCAATTAAAGCTTAAATGAAGTGGGTATTGCTACGATTGTTCTACAGAGTAGCTACAAAATCGAACTAAACAATCCTTGGTTCATTTACAGTATCGAAAACTCAACCTCAAAAACAATATAGAATGGTGCAAAAACACCAATACTTGACACATAATAAATTTCCCAGGTGAAAACCCCTTCAGTATTAACGTGTTGGGGAAACGAGCGGAATGGAATTGGGGAAAGCACGCTCGTCTACGTCAAGGGCGTCATAGGGGGTCAAGGACCTGTGGAGGGGGTGGGGGTGGAAGAGAGAGATAGCAAGTCATCCCTCTCACTCAGCTGACTGACACTTCCTGTCTTTAGCGTGTAACAAAAACAAAAGCTTACAATTCTTAGTAATCTCAGCGCGATATACTTAAATTGCGAGTCACAATCCCTTCCACTCGGTCCTGATAATTGCACAAAAAAGTACCTTAATTGCGCCAAGTACTCAAAGGGCCCCAAAAATGTTCCTTAATTGCGCCAACTCCAAACCAGGTAGGGGTGAGTTGCCGGCAGAAGGAGTGCACTGGTTTACGTGTCATCCTAACCTACACAATTATACAGTCAAAGAGGGCCGCCACTTGGAGCAGTTGAGAAACGTATCGTGTCCTGGAGTAGTTGACGCAATTCAGTAATACCCGACTCATAATACCTGACTCAGGTCACTTGGCGCAATTAATGCTCGCCCCTCCACTCTCAACACCAGTTGATTGGTCGGCTTATCATCTTACCTTAGTTTTTAGGTTTTTATATTAGTTATTAGTAGTAGTTATATTTTAATTAAATCTTTACGTACAACACGTGACAGGAAATGGTTGCAGTATTTGTAAACAACACTTGTAAACATATCAGTGACTGCTAGAAAACGAGAATCTCAAAACAACTGTTTGTTATTTCATAGATGACGTATTCTCTTCGGATGGGGTATTTAATAAATTACGGATGTAGTATTGGGAGAAAATGTAACAAAAATTGCACAACATTGGGGGTTTGAAAGTTTTTTTTAAGTAGTGAGACCATGGCTAAAGACACTCTCACCAATCCAGTGAATACAATAAAACGATTTGAATCTTGATCGGTAGTCCAGTTTTCTCGAAGTAGACAGCGTAAATTGGAATTTGGCGTCACAGACAAAATTACAGACAAACAGACGGACAGAAATTGAGATAAGACTTGTTTGGGATTTTTTAGGGTATGAAACATAAAAATAATAAAATACCCCCGCCGCAGCAAACCTGCAGACTAAGCGAACTTCCAATTCTGGTTACATTTTCACTAAAATATTTCCATAAATAAGATATATTGATTCCCAATTTAAATAGCATTAGATTTAACGAGTTCTTAGGTTTGCTGAAACGGGGAAGGTAAAAAGTGTTTTTTTACCAAACGTCAAATGAAAAACTGTAGGTACTTGGTCTCTCGACCACAAAACCCATACAGTTATATAATTTTGATAACGTTGTTTCTTATTATTATAGCAAAATAACAAAGCAACAAATCGATTACTTAATGAAACGTTAATAACGTTTCGGGGATGCGACATTTCCAAAGATAAAAAAAAACACTAATAAACACTATTTTTATATTGAAAACAAGAGGGAAAATAATAAAGAACGATTCTCAAACGGTGAAAATACTGCTTTGGTAAATTAGTATCCACCACATAAAACATAGCTTAACGAGACAATTTTACACTCACAAAAATAATCATAACATAAATGTAAATGATCTATACTATCATAAAATGCAACTTATTATAATTTTGCTACACACTAATTCCAAGATATTTCATCACTTTGGGATTTATCTTGGGTATAATCTTATAGAAAATAAAACTTTCCCACATTGTTTTACGTGATTCCTCAAGAGATTTGTGAGATTTAACTTATTCAAGCGTTAAATGAATTGCAATAGCTGGAGCGTTTCGCGCAAGTAGGATAATTTGAATAGGTTAATATAGTGAAATACGTTTACGATTTGTCCATCCTGAGCATGCAGAATACTTGCGTGTATTGTTAACAGAATACTACAGCTGTTTCACTGTAAAACTAGGGTCTAGTTAAAGTTTGCTAAATTTAACAAATAATTGTTTAGGATTACCGCAGTACACATACATTTAAATCTCATACCAATAATCTGCAAATCTTTTATGGTATCATTTAAAACTTGACGAGTTAATCATTATCATATAGGAAAAATATTCATAGGTATAATATTTTTTTAACCTATAACCATATTTCCATTCCATACCATACCAGACCATAGGTTTATTACCTATTACAATTTTTTGTAAACCTGTAAATAATACACCCAAAGACGTTGTGAAAATAACTATTTCTACTCGAGAAAAAAATTCAACATAGCTTTTTTACACAATACAAACTTACAACCACAAATACTAAAAGATGGATTTAAGCTAAAACCCGATATCGTAGTTTGCCTTTAAATGTTCTTATGTAGAATGTAAAAAAGTACCTAGACTCTGGGTTAATGTACCAAATAGATTTTAACTCCTCAAACAAAATTAACCAGCGATAA